CGCGAATATAAAAAGTCCACGATTGTTCGAGACGCTGATAGCAAGTTAAGACATCGAGCAGCTGCAGGGCAAATCAAGATGCGCGTCGTGGGGAGTCAAGAGTGCATGATCGCGATCGGAAGCAAGCTCTGCACGACGAGCGTGCCTATACAAAAGCACAGCGCGAATCGCCTTCGGAAGTCTCAATCGGTCAAGGAAAAGACGGAAGGAAGGTGCATGCGCATATCCGCCGCAACGTGATTTGATTTTAGCATGGGAATGTGTTCTTCAAGCACACCGTCAAGCGAGACGCCAAGCTCATCTCAAAGCCATGCAGTGACTTTCAAATCACATGCTGGTCCTTCATCAGCACCTTTTGCTCAATGAGCCAGGCAGGATAGGCAGGCGACGAAAGAGGCAGGAAGGATCTTTGATCGAACTTTGGCATTCCAATCAGTAAATTATTATTGGCGCGAGCAAAGGAGTATGGGAAAGCAACTTGCAAAAACGGAGGAGCTCGTCATGACGATTTAGACCATCGCAAGTGTGGGATCTGATGAGACGACCGAGTTGGCCATGCTGAATCGAACGTGCGCTTATTTGAGAAGGTTGCGAGAAACATGGCACGTCTGCATGGCTCGTCATCTTGCTGGTCAAGCCGCTACTTGATAGAGACTCATGCTGTAAACGCTGCCACCGCAAGTCTGAGCGCTGTTTCCGCTGCACGGCTTGTCGCACGTAGCACCGACAGTGCTGCTGTAGAGCAATGTGTTGCCACCGCGGCACTCGTTCCCATTCTCCAGCGCCGCGTACTTGAAGCCACGGTCAGCCATGGTGGTGATGCAGCCCTGGATCGTCCTGGCATTCGAGAAGAGCGCTGCTCCGTCAAGGGCTCGATTGGGGTCAGCGCGGTCCTTGTAGCATCCGATGAAGTTGTACTTTTGGCCATTCCTGGCCGTCACGGGCGAAGGCTGCTGAGGAGTGCCGGTTGGCGGTGTGGTGGATAGCGTGGTCTTGTAGACGGACAGGGCCGAAGCGTCTCCACAAATCTGCTTGGTGTTGCCGGTGCAAGAGTTGTTGCAGTTAGACTCGTCAATCTTCTTGTTGGCAGGGGGCCCAACAGATGAGGAAGAGCCACAGTGGCATTCGCTTCTGTACTCGGTGGCTGACAAATCATAGCCCGAGTTGGCACAGCGAGTCGCGCAACCCTGCACGGTATTGTCGTTGATTCCATACGTACCGGCAGGCAGGAGGCGGTTGTTTGGGTCGTCACGGTAGCAGCCCTGATAGGATCCGTTGGTGATGGTGACGCTTCTAGCAGCTGGTCCATTGACCTTGCTCTGGAACACCAGCAGCTTGTTGGGACCGCCAGCCCGCTGGGCACCGTTTCCTGGAGCAACAGTGTTGCACCCCCCGTCGTTCGAGCTGGTCAATTGGGCTGCTGGCGTGTCGACTGTTCCGGTTGGTGAGTTAAGCGCGTCGCCGCAGAAGCATTGGTAGCTGGTAGTACACAGGGACCAGCAGTCAGCCTTTTTTGTTGTTTCTTTCTGCATTCAAGACGTCTCGCTCGCTCTCACCCATACTCGAGGCCGGCGTAGTAGGCTCCCAAGGAACCGCAGTATGTCAAGCATTTCTACATGACCATCACCGCAACAACTTGTGAGTGCAAGCTTCGCGCAGCGTTGGACCTTGTGCGACTCACTCCAACGGTCATTGCCTGCTTGTCCTCCGTGTAGCCAGATCGGAGCAGGCGAGAGTTGGGGTAGAAGTCTAGGGCGATCGACGAGGATCGTGTCAGTACGTGCCACGTTCGATATGAGCGGCAGCAACGTCCGAGTCGAACTGACCTGCCGTACAGCCAGTAGTCTGCCAACTTGCAGCATCAGGTCCAGAGGGCTGGAAGGGCGCCGATGGACCAGCCGCAGGAGAGGTTCCGGTCTGAGGAGCCGGGACTGCCGAGACTGCGCCGATTGCAAAGGCCAAAGCGCCGACGATGAGGGACGTAGAGCGCATGATGGATGATCGAGTTCCTTGGGTTGATGAGCGGAGTGAAGCTGTGAAAGGGGGGGGGGGGGG